ACAGTAGATTAATATAGCTGTACTACTTGATATTTTTTTGTGTGAACAAAAATATCTTTATGAAACCATCACTAGATGTAGTGAATGTATGTCAATTAAAAAAGTAGGAAGAATAAACACATATAATAAAAGAAACAAAATTTAAAGCAGAAACATGGGTTAAGTTTCCATGAAGGCAAGACAGAAGCTGAAAGGAAAGGTAGGTTAGATGCTATAATACTCCAGTATTTGGCAATGCCTTCATTAAATGAAAATCTGTACATTATTTCCTGTCATGTTTCAAAGGACCCAAGATGATAATGAATCATAAAGCTGACAGAATAAAAACACTTCTTGAAAGTAGGTAGAAGGTCAAGTAGATGTCTTACCATTTTATAAATATCATTGGACTTAATAGGAGAATGAGGATCAGTTAGTCACTCAGTACACCTGGATATATTAGAAAGAGCTTTTTGTGGTGATATATTGTGTACCTGAAAGTTTTACTGTGCTCGCCTGGCACCAAGGTCCCAGAGCCACTTATAAAATTCCTGTGCTGCCTGGTTCTGTAACCACTCAGACCCAAGTAAACACACAGAGGCTTATATTATTTTTAAACTATGGCCATGGCAGGCTTCTCACTAGCTAGCTCTTACATCTTAAATTAACCCATTTCTATAAATCTGTACTTTGCCATATGGTTTGTGGCTTTGTATACTTACTTTTACATCTTGTTTCTCCTGGTGGTGGCCAGCAGCGTCTCCTCTGCTCTGTCTTTCTCCTTTTTCTCTCTCTAGTTAGAATGTCCTGCCTAACCTTATTCTGCCTCACCATTGGCCAAACAGCTTTATTTATTAATCAATCACAGCAACACATATTCACAGCATACAGAATGATATTACCCATCAATATTGTATGCCCTAATAAAATTTGCCTGAAGATCAGGGAATAGAACAAGCCACCAAATTAAATATAGATGCCAGGCAGTGGTGGTACACACCTTTAATCCTAGCACTCAGGAGGCAGGGATCTCTCTGAGTTTAAAGCCACCATGGATTACATGAGATTGATTCAGTCTTGGAGAGAAACAGAGGCAGGCAGTGGTGGCACACACCTTTAATCCCAATACTCGGGTGTTACACACTTTTAATGCCGGCTCTAGGAAGGATGTAATATGGCTGGGCAGGGAAAGGTATGTTAGGCGTGAGGAGACAGGAACTAAGCTTTTCTGCTGAAGCCTTTTCATTAGAAGCCCTTTCAGCTGGGGCCTTTCAGCTGAGGACTCAGAAACTTTTCAAACAGAGGATTTGTGGAGTTGCTGAGGTGAGACCGTGGCAGTGGCTTGTTCCTTTGTCTCTCTGATCTTTCAGCATTTACCCTAATATCTGGCTCCAGTTTTTTTTTTTTTAATATAATACCAGTTAGAAATTCACGCAATAGTTTTTAATTTAATAGCACTGTGTAGATGATAAAAATATTGAAAATTACTTAATTTTAATATCAGACAGGAGAGAAATACAAAGTGGGATAAATAAAGCTATGGTAGAATCAGGTAGAATCATAACACAATACTGTAAGAACTGGCCCACACTCACACAGGGGAATTCCATTTAGAGTCATTTAAATGATATAGTTATTTAAATATCTGGGATCATAATTTTATGGTAAATAGAAGAAAACATAGTAAAATTAAGTTTGGAAACATTCTACAATTAAATACACACATATTATAAATTGTATTATGCTTAATATTACATGTCCCGTATTCTTATTTTCATCATGCTATTAAAGTTATAACGGTCATTATCAAATCATTTTATCACTAATATTGAATGGGAATTTACATTAGTTATATAAGTTGTTTCCCCTTTCCTTAGGAGTTATAACAAGGACATTTATATTTTCACAGAAATGGAGAGCATTTCAGAAAACTTCTTTTTCAGCAAGCATCTGAGAATATATACAGATACTGACTGTGAGATTTAGCCAAGAAAATCCCTGATTTGAGATATTTTTTATGCCACATATCATCTTAGTTATTCTAGCTATCTTATCACTCTGGATTCCAGAGAATTCTTCCTTTCTTCTTAACTCTGCAAACATTATTAGCATCTTCTTAAGCATCACTAGGTCTAGAAAAATCCCCTCACCTTCAACAGCCTAAAAGACAAAGTTGCATTTTCTGATGATAAACTTTTCTTTGCCATTCTCAGACTTAACTCTTTCAGGAATACGACTATTTTTAAAGCTCCTCTTGCTATGCTTGCTTTCTTGCTCATCTTAAAGCCTTTATTTAATATTTGCTTTTGCCCTTCAATGAGAAAAAAAAATGTAATTTTTTTAATTAAGGAGTAGACACTTGAGAAAGATTACTTTTTCAATCCTTAAGAATGCCACAACCCTATGACTTTACTTTTTAAATGTAAAATGTCCCTTGTGTTGCGTTATATGATAAATAAAGCCTGCCTGGAGATCAGAGGGCAGAGCTAGCAAGTAGTTCACCATAAAGGGCAGGCAGTGGTGGCACACACCTTTAATCCCAGCACTAGGGAGGTGGAGACAGGAATATAAGGTAGATGGAGACAGGATCTCTACCCTTTCACTCTGAGGATTCCTAGAAATAGTATCGCCCCTGCTTTGGTCTGAGATTTCTTAGAGGTAAGAAGTTTCTGGTGACTGGGGCTGCTCCTTTGCTTCTCTGATCTTTCAGCTTTTACCCTAATATCTGATTCTGGGTTTTTATTGATAAGACCAGTTAGGATCAAGCTTCATCCTTGTCTCAGTTAGAAGAGAAGTATACATCAAACATACTTGTTTTATTATCATAAAATTTCTATTGCTGATTGAATTGTCATATAAAGTTACTTGCTTATAGTTGATTTACATACTAGGCATATGCAAGTCAGCTCTATTTCTTATCTCAGTGAATGAATTCCTTCCTAGCAATTCCTAGTTTAATTCATCGAGAGACTGTTTCTCCTCCCATGGAAATACTGAAGCTTATCACTTCATAAAACTCCCCCCCCACCTCTCTTTCTCTTTCTCTCCGTGTGTGTGTATGTGTGTGTGCGTGTGTGTGCGTGTGTGTGTGTGTGTGTGTGTGTGTGTGTGTGTGTGTGTGCTAACATCTTTTCCTCTTTCCCTTTCTTTCTCCAGTGGTCTCTAATTCATTCTTCTTTACTCCATGATGCACATGGGTAATTTACTATTGCTAAAATCACCAGATTATATTGTCTCATTGGATTCCTTTTGCTAGTAGAGGGTCAACGTAGAGCTTAGCATGTTCTCTTGACTCTGCTTTTATAATGATTAAAATTTCTCTGGGGAATGGGAAGGAGAAGGCTCAGTAGACGAAACATATGACTAAGAAATGTGAAAACTTGAAAACTTGGATATGTAAAGTGTGAAGCCTTTGAATGCCTGGAATCTACATAAAAGTCAGGTGTGCATGATGGCTAGCTGTAACTCCAGCATTCTGGAAGCAGAGACAGGGGAGCCTGAGATAAATTCTAGTCTACCCAGATTCTGTGAGCTCCAGTTTCACCAAGAAGAGAAACACTCCCTCAATAAATAAAATGGGTTATAGAGGAAGACAAATGTCAATCTCAGCCTCCACATTCATATGTACACATGTGCACAATATCTACACATATGTGCCCATACACATGTATATGCATACACGCATACACACACACACACACACACACACTCTACAAATATACTTATGCAGGCAAATAAATACTTTTCTAGATGTATATAATGCCTTTCCACACCTGCATAACAAATTGTTATCTAAAACTTTCTCTTTGCTTTTAAATGCATATTTGCACATGGAACCTACTAGTTATCCTCATGATAGATTTAAATATGCCATAATCAGGTATTTCTTTCCACCTTATTTTCTACAGATGTACTGGTTGATGAATTGCAAAGTGCTGCCTAGCCACTCCTAACATTATCCTAGAATTTCTCTCTTCCCGTTTATAAAATAACAACTTTTACTAACAATTGTGAAGTCTGGAATAAGTGATAAACAATACTCTTCTCCATGTCATCAGATGAAATTAGTCACCGAGCCTGTAAATTTTTCTTTCATCACAAATTTCATACTTACCAGAAGAAGTCCTGTGTTGTTAACAACTTTTAGCCCCATACAAGATTCTGTCTTGAAACATGACACAAATCCCCTCAAGTTGATGAGCTGTTTAAATGCCTTTTACATTTCTTCCTTTATAACTTTGCATAGGAACTGCATCTTTAGCACAGCAACTATGGTGTTCCTTGCTTTGATCTTGACAAGATAAATCCCCAGCTGTTTCCTCTCCAAATATCCCCAAGTAGAAAGACCATACATGACCTGGAAGCAAAGGCTATCTCTTTTCCAAATGTCACTAAAATGGAGATTGTCCCTCCTTCTGCAATTTTTTTTATATAGTCAGTTTCTTACTATAAGTGGGATCCACTCTTTAAAATTCACAATATACCCTGATTTCTATCTCATCAACATTATTTTTAACTGTATTAATCTCCCCAGAGACAATTGTTTGCTAGGTAGGACACGTGTTTTCTCATGGTTTTTCTTCAGATGCACCAGGTTTTCAAATGCCAATCATTAATTAGTTGTTACAATTTTTATACAATGGAAATGTTGGAAAATGTAGATAAGCCTTATACTCTAAGAATGTTGTTAGACCTCTGCAAACTTTTAATAATAGCTAGGTAACAAGTACCATATCTAATAAAGAGTTGAACTAATGAAGGAAGTATTTATTCATAGGTAAATCATAACGGGGGACCCACCAGTTCCTTTATCACCCTCTTCCTTTCTTATGAAAACAGTGCCCTCTATTGCATGCACAATGCTGTGATCTTTCCCTAAGTAGCTCCAATCTCTCATTTTTTTTTCCTTAAATCATCATGGATTTGAGCTCACTGTTTTCTCAATTTAGCCCTAAGAAAATTGTGGCGAGATACGCATTCTCTAATTAACCTAAAAGTGAACTATATTTCATTGCTTGTAGGATGGTATGGGGAATCTGAGAGTCACCAAGAAGGGAATCCGACTTGAAGGTATATCTGAGTTTCTACTTCCATTGTATGTGAAAGAAATTCATTCCCGAAAGGTATGTGATATGGCTTTGGCTTACTCTAAGATAATTTCGAGTTTGTGTTTTCACTCGACATAGGAGCATCCAATCTCCTTATCCCCTTCCTTTTCATTTAATTTCTTTAAGCTTAAGACTTATTTGAAGAAACAAAAAGAATCAATTGAAGAACAATGGAAAGAGTTAGCTTTGAATTAGCAAATCAGGAAGCATTTGAACTGAGATGCTGCTGCTTTTAGTCTTTGAATTTTGTTCTTCTATCACTCAAAATTAAATGCGGTGGTAGCAAGGAGTTTGTAAGCTTTAAAGGATTTTCTCAGGAAGCACATATGGATTAATTATTTCGATTTAATGTATCAAACACTTGCCCCTTAAACGCAAATGCATTTCCAAAACACAACAATGTTTGAAAGGAGGAATTAATTCATTATTTTAACTACTGCCAGAATATTTGTCCTTTGGATGTATGGGTGTATGCTGGGCATATTTGCTACTTAACAGCATGCTAAAAGAAAAAAGAGTTAGCTTAGTAATTGCTCAATTTGACTTGAGTTTTACTTAGAATGTATCTACTAGTCTATGACATCAGTATATCTCCAATCTATCAGGATGTTTTCTGATATGTATTCATGGAAATAAATTTATTAAGACAGAATGAAAAGATTCTTATTTAAAAGTTTCAGAAACAGATTTGTCTCATGTAAAACTTATTTTAGATTAAAATAATACTTCAGTGTTACCAAGATAATATATTAGGAGATTTCTACAGTAAAATTTAGATAATTTCCATTAAGGCTTTTTCCCATTAATATAAAAGTACAACGAAAAAGATTTATTTCTAAAGTTTTAATAAGGATAGATGTATCAAAATTTTTTATAATATATAAACGATACAGAATATTGAATAGACTTTATTGAGAATGCTTTCAGTAGCACAAATTTAGTTTAATATTACTTCACAGATATCAATCAGATATAAAACAATAGGCACATGTGTTGATACCTGACCTTGAATGATTAAACTTTAAAAATAGCTATTTAATATTTGAGATAAGTTTTATGTATGAAAACTGGGCCAAAGCGGTTATATACATCAGTGTATTCTACTATTCCTTCATTTCCCAAATACCTCCTGTGCTGTCCACTATTAAGTAGTTTAGCAAAATTAAAGAAATTAAAATTTATATATAGAAATTAGAAAAATACTTAACCTAGATAAAAGGTGATAGTGGTCACATAATCATTACATATATATATATATATATATATATATATATATATATATATATATATATATATATAATAAATACATCTTACTGGAGAGTCCATAGGCAACAATGGTGATTTACCTCTAATGTCTTTTGAGAGTATAAGAAAAGTTGTTCTCTGAGAACATGGGTGAGAATTGATTCCATCTCTGTCCTAAATAACAGAGTATACATACTTTATAGCTTAAACGTGTGAGGCAGGGGCAGCTTTACTTTCTGCCTAGAATAACTGATCTCAGCTTCACAAACATTTCCAAAGTCAGCTGAATGGATGAAGAGCCACAGCCCTTGTTCACATCCCCATTTTTTGCTACTGGCCATCTCTGTGTCGCTAGATTTTGCCTGTTGGTAATTAAGAAGGGGTATGCAGCATGGGAGGTGGTGACTACAGTGTCCAGAAGAGGCATCTGCACTGATAACAGAATACAAAGGAGATCCATTCCTTGGAAGATTTCTCTATATGTATGCAACAAAAAAATTAAGGAAAATATCTATGTTATAATTGATATTCATATGACAAATTGCTTGCCTTGAGTACATATAATCATTTTTCTTGTTGTAAAGATTATTTATCGCATTGTTAGATGAAGCCAGGCACATAGTTTTCCTCAGCTTTAATTTCCAACTTAATGAAGGTAGGAATGTATACAAATGCTTATCTCTCAGATTCAGAAGATACACACAAGTCACTAGTAATACTAGAAATGGAGTTTTAATTAAAAATTTTTGAGATATATGCTTGTAGGTACCTTCCCAAGTGTTTTCTTAAATTTTGTTACAATTATTTGTTATTTGTTTAGTGTGTGTGTGTGTGTGTGTGTGTGTGTGTGTGTGTGTGTGTATGTGTGTGTGTGTGTGTGCGTGTACGCGCACGCATGCGTGTGCACACGCATCACTGAATTTTTGTGGCTCTGAAGTCTGAGGACACATTTTGGGAGTCAGTTTTCTCCTTCAACCATGGGGAGCCCAGGGACTAGAACTCAAGTAATCCAGTACAATAGCAAATACCCCACCCTCAAAATCTTCTTGCCAGACCAATATTCTCATATATTTTTCATGTTTTCAAATCAAATTGCCATATCTATTAAAATATATTAAGTCAATTAAAATAAGAAATCTATTAAAATAAAAACCCACCCTAAAAGATTTATAATAAGCTGGAAAATGTTACATCATATTACTGTTATTTTTGTGTATGTTTCCTCTCTTAATTTCAGCCTGCTGCCTCTTTATCTCTAGCCAACGGATAGTATTTAAAACCTCTTTCTGGTAGCAGGATGTGGTTGCTCAAGACTATAATCCTGGCATTTAGCAAGCTAATGAAAGATTATGGCCATGTGTTTGAGGCTAAGTGAGGCTCCATAATGAGTCTCAGGCTACTGTGGGTTTTATAAATCCTATACATGAAAAAGTTAAATCCTATACATTAAAACAAGATTCTTTCTGGACAGGAAGTACAGCTATCTACAAACACACAAAATTACATAACCTGATAACACATGGGTTTGATTTAATTTCCTAGGAAACTATTCTCATCCTCACCACTCTCCAGCTGCTCACACACACACACACACACACACACACACACACACACACACACACACACACACTACAGATATTTTTAAATATCTTCTATTATCCAAACAATTTTCTCTTACTCAGTTTTTAATCAAACGTTTCTCAGCAGCCCACAAAAACTGTATTTAGACATGTGTAGTATATATTCTACATCGAACATACTCAGGATTCAATGCCTTTTACAAATTTTTAAATTTGAAAAATATTAAGCAATATTTTCCCAGCTTAATCACTTCCTGTCAGTTTGTAAAGTTAAATATCCAGTTTTCTCCAGATAGGAAAAACACAAAAGTTGTATAATTTGAATTACTTATGGTAAATGATACCTGATAATATTCCATATATATCTCCAAGGCACATGGTGTCACATTAGGACAAAATATTTCAATTTCAGGAAATTAAGACAATTACATTTTAATGTCCTTGGTGTGCAGGATGCTAATGAGCTTAAGTAATACATATTTTTACTAATCTGTTCAGTAAAGTTGGTATTGTGTAGTTTTATTGATCCCTTAACCATCTGAGACTAACTGAACCACAATGTTATATTGTTTGCTTTTTTCCCTGTCAATGATCTTTACTTAAGTTGTTCCCTCATCTGACAGGAATGGTGTATAACCGGCTAGGAGCTATTCCCCAGCAGCTGCCCTCAGATATTTCCAACTCCAGTAGGTGGACAGAAAGGCAATGAAGTCTTGAGTCTTTAGACTTCTGAGTGAGCAAAGTATGAAGAGCTCTGCTCTTCCTATGCCCATGCACTTGGGTCCAATGTTGGGTTTCTAACTCAGTGTCTGGTTACCATTAGTTTTGGGCTTTGTGTGTTTGAGTTTTCCTGGATTTCATCCACAAAGGCACAGGCAAGTGACTTTTATGTCTATGTGGTAGCATAGTAAGTTCCTTCTCTGTCTCTTTCATGTATCACAACATATCTCAATTATTCAGATTACTTTTCTCCTATACATATCAATTTATACAAATAAACACTGTAGGAATTCCAAAAATAATTTATCATCACCATCATTATTATTTTGCAACTGGATGTTTAATATGGGAGACATCTGTGATTTTTGTAGTATTGTCTGTTTAATCCAAATTTCAAATAATATACATCATTCAAAAATCTTTACACTGGAAAACAACAAAATGAACAGCAGCATCATGGTCATATAACATTTCTGCAAAAACAAAATGATAAAGAAAACATATATGTAAAGTGAAACATGCACATGTTGCTAGAGTTTTCTTGCCTGGCCCACAGTCAGGACAAATCTCTCTCACCTGCCAGTCCCACAGCCGTCAGACCCAACCAAGTAAACACAGAGACTTATATTGGTTACAAACTGTATGGCCGTGGCAGGCTTCTTGCTAACTGTTTTTACAGCTTAAATTAATCCATTTCCATTAATCTATACCTTGCCACATGGCTCATGGCTTACCGGCATCTTTACATGCTGTTTCTCATCATGGCCGCTGGCAGTGTCTCTCTCACTCAGCCTTCCACTTCCCAGCTCTATTCTCCTCCTTGTCCCGCCTATACTTCCTGCCTGGCCACGGACCAATCAGTGATTTATTTATTGACCAATCAGCAACACATTTGACATACAAACCATCCCCCGCCTATACTTCCTGCCTGGCCACGGACCAATCAGTGATTTATTTATTGACCAATCACCAACACATTTGACATACAGACCATCCCACAGCACTTCCCCTTTTCTTTTCTTAAAAAGGAAGGTTTTAACCTTTACATATCTCCAAAGTCAGCTTGGTATATTTGGGAATTTGGGCGTAACTTCTCTTACTACTTCCTGCTGGAGGGGGGCGCTGTATCTTCTGGGGAAACAAAGAAAATTTTAGGATCATGGAGTAGTCCGTGAGGCTGTATCATCTGAGCCAGTTGCCTTGAAACGGTTCTGGATGTTGGATCATCTGGGCCATGGTGTCATCGGAGACCATTCAGGTGGTCTTGGCTGGTCAAACCTGATGTGTCTTAATCTGGAACAAATCCATAGCCTCTGGCTTTCTGTGGAAACAAAAGCAGAGTCTCCTTTCCAAAGTAACATATCCTTATATCCAAATTTTGAAGTCAAGGTACCTTTAAAATATGCATATTGGTTTAACTCAGCTTCCTTTACAATCAAATATCTCTCTGTTGTTAAGAATCCCAAAGAC